TCATCATCATCATCATCATCATCATCATCATCATCATCATCATCATCATCATCATCATCATCATCATCATCATCATCATCATCATCATCATCACCATAATCATCACCACCACCACCACCAGCATCATCATCACCACCACCACCATTATCATCATCATCAGCATCATCATCATCAGCATCATCGTCATCGTCATCATCATCATCATCATCATCATCATCATCATCATCATCATAATCAGCATCATCATCATCAGCAGCAGCATCATCATCAGCATCATCATCAGCATCATCACCACCACTTCCACCACCACCACCGACATCATCATCATCATCAACATCATCATCATCATCATCATCATCATCATCATCATCATCATCCTCATCCTCATCCTCATCCTCATCCTCATCCTCATCCTCGTCCTGCTCCTCCTCCTCCTTCTCTTCCTCCTCCTCCTCCTGCTCCTCCTCCTCCTCCCCCTCCTCCTCCTCCTCCTCCTTCTCCTCCTCCTTCTCTTCCTCCTCCTCCTCCTCCTCCCTATCCTGCTCCTCCTCCTCCTCCTCCTCCTCCTTCTCGTCCTCGTCCTCGTCCTCGTTCTGCTTCTCCTCCTCCTCCTGCTCCTCCTCCTCCTCCTTCTCACACTGCTCCTCCTCCTCCTCCTCCTCCTCCTCCTCCTCCTCCTCCTCCTCCTCCTCCTCCCCTTCTCTTCTTCCGCTTCCTGGCTTCCTGCGTTTTCTTCTTCTTCTTCTCCTCCTATCGGGCCGAGGTGACTGCACCCGCCCACCGCACTACGCTATGCTACGCTGCCTGCTGTTCCATCCTGCTCATCCCGCCACCTGCCCGCTCAGTCGGGCAACCACTTCACTAAGGCCCCATTCCGAGAAGATGAGCTCTGCCTCAAACGAGCTGCCGAGAGGTCCCCAGTAACGACCGGCTCTTCGGAGCAAGACGCGATCCAACGAAGAACTATGGGAAAACGCTGCAATCCCTGCTGCTGCCACGGTCTGCTGGCAGGGCACCATCGACGCATAGCATGATGCGTGGCGTATCCTCTGTGTTGATCGCATGCCCTGCCCGGTGTCGTCGTTCCAATCATGTCCCGAATCCACAGAAATATTGGCGCAGTGGTCTGCGATTGAGCTATACTGGCGTGGGTCCCACTCCACGAACGCACCGTGTCCATCCAAGGCAACCAAGCGTTCTTCAGGAACCACTGCAATCGTCGGGCAATTCGAATACAGATCGGCCAATCGCGTTTCCTGCTGCTGCTCCGTGTTCTCCACCTCGTCCCCTCCTCTTCCTCCTCCACCCTCTCCTGCTTCTTCTGCTCGGCTTCCTTCCCCCCCTTCCCGCCTCCTTCGCAACAGTGGCACCTTCAACCATTACGCCTTCTCCTGCTTCTCCCTTCTCCTCCTCCTGCTTCCCCTGTCGCCTCCTGGGAGCCTCTCGGTAGCTTACTGGATGCCTTCTCACGTCTCAGGGGCATCGGAGCGTCTGGGGCGCCTCTCTTGGGGGCCCTTCAGGCAGTCTGCGGGGCCTCTGGGGACCTTACCTTGGTGAACTTGTTTCCACCGCGGCCACAATAAGTAGTAGGGGGACGGGGGTCTTCCTCTTTCTCCTCCTCCTCCTCCTCCTCCTCTTCGTCCTCCTCCTCCTCCTCCAATTTATGGTGGTGGTGGTGGTGGAAAGCAGGCCCATCATCCCTGGTCCACTGTGGAGCCTCTTGGGCCCTCTTGGGCGCCTTCTGGACGCTTCTTTCCCAAGGACGCCCGTCGGGGGGGCACAAAGGTGGGGCATGGGCAACGGTACGGGTGGAGGGACAATCGCTCTGGACGGCCCCATAGAAGAAAGAAACGCGTGAAACTGGAGCATCTGGCCGAGCCCTTTCCCCAGCCCCACCCTGGGATAACCCTCCCTCTGCGAATCCCCTCCTCCTCCTCCTCCTCCTCCTCCTCCTCCTCCTCCTCCTCCTCCTCCTCCTCCTCTTCCCCCGCCCCCTCCCCCTCCCCCTCCCCCTCCCCCTCCTCCCCCTGCTCCCCCTCCTCCCCGAGAAGCGGGACGAAGCCCTCGCACAGCTCGACGGCGGCCTGGGCCCTCGCGGCGAGAGGGCCCTGGCCAGCCGGCCACGCGATGACCCCCTCGTCCTTCGTCCTGCCGGGCTCGGTCCACCCGGCTCTGGAGCAGCACCCGCAGGGGGGCCCCGAATGCCTCGCCCGAGCTGGCGGCAAAGGCGGAAGTACTGGCTGCTCAGGACGGCCCGGAGGGCAGTGGCGGCCAGCGGCTGGTCGCCCCGGGGGCTCCACGGGGATGATCCCCGTGATTCCGGAGGCTGCGCCCCCCTGTGGTCAGGAAGAGGACGATGCTCATTGCCCACACGTCGACGGGCACCACCGCGTAGCAAGCCAGAGTGGCGGAGGAGTCCGCTCCTGGCTCAGCATTGGTGCCGACTCGCCACTCGCGCATTCGCTGCTGCAGGTCGGGGAGAACTGGATCGTAGATCTGAACGGATTCCGTTTGTTGACCAAACCTGCAAGGACTCCAACTCTGCGGGCACGAGATCTGCTGCACGCCTGTACTAGGGATGAAGACTTCAGGAACGACGTATATATCAATGCCGCATGGTTCCGCATATCCGAGTTCCTGGCCTCTGGGCCCTCGAAGCTGTACAACCTGGCGGAGGTCCATCAGTTTGCTCACAAAGTGCCCCCCCCCCCCCCGACTTCGCAGCACAGTACGTTGTCTAAGCTGAGATTGCGGTGGCCGATGTTGAACCCTTGGAGGTTCAGCAGTGCCTGGGAGATGCCTCCCATGTTGTCCCTGCTTTTCAGCATGGTCGATTTCATTTGTTCCCCGTTCAAGTCCTCGTCGTTCATCCGCTCGCCCAGCCAATTCTCTGTCACCAGCCACGTTCGCCCGTCTGGAACTTGGACACACCCGAGCGCGTACACCACGTGTGGACACAGTGGTACGCGTCCATCGTTCACCTCGTCCACCTGAAACGAAGATACGCCTATCTCTCTTACACGATCGTCTTGGTCGAAGCCGGTCTTTGGTTTGGAGGCTTCCCCAGGCCTGGCAGTGGGGCTATTCTGAATCGACTGAATGCAACAATCCCGCTGCTGCTCGCCTCCATGTGCGAAGCGGCCGCACCGATCGGAATGGGGGGTCAATGTTTAAAACACATGTTCGGGGAGAAACCTCTTGCCTCCTGTGCGTCCGCGAGGGGCGACCGCGCGCGACATCTGCTCGTGACGAGAGGTACGCTGGCGCACAGCCCGGTGGGGCTAACCAGCATACCACACCTACTACCTCCTCCATCCTTCCTCCTTCTCCCACTCCTTCTCCTTCTCCTCCTTCATGTCCTCACCCTCTCACTCTCACTCTCCCTCTACCTCCGCCCCTCCTCCTCCTCCTCCTCCCCCTCCTCCCACAAATCTCCTCCTCCTCCTCCTCCTCCTCCTCCTCCAAATCCTTCTCCATCCTCCCTCCTCCCTCCTCCCTCCTCCCTCATCCCTCCCGCCTCCCTCCTCCCTCCCGCCTCTCTCCTCCCTCCCGCCTCTCTCCCCCCTCCCTCCCTCCCTCCCTCCCTCCCACATCCTCCTCCTCCTCCTCCTCCTCCTCCTCCTCCTCCTCCTCCTCCTCCTCCTTCCTCCTCCTCCTCCTCCCCGTCCTCCTCCTCCTCCTCCTCCTCCTCCTCCTCCTCCTCCTCCTCCTCCTCCTCCTCGTCGTCTCTCCTCCCTCTTCGATGCCCTCGCTCCTGCCCCTTCCCCTCTCCCCGACCTTGCTCCTCTGCTCCTCTGCGCCGGCTGCCCGGCGCCTGCCCCTCCGCGCGTGCTCCAGCACCCGCCGCCACCTCGCCTCCTCGCCCAGCCCCTCCTCGCCCCCTCGCTCGCCGCGCGTCTTCGCTCGCTCGCTCCTTCGCTCGCCGCGCCTCCCCGCCCCGCCGCCGGCCGCCGTGGTGGCCGCCGCGACCGGCCTCTGGCTGCCGAGGCGACGCCTCCGCCCCCCCCCCCCCCCTCCCCTGATGGGCCTGTGTTCACCATAAGCTGGAGGGGGAGGGGGTCCCGTCCTCCTCCTCCTCCTCCTCCTCCTCCTCCTCCTCCTCCTCCTCCTCCTCCTCCTCCTCCTCTCTTCCTCCGCCTTCCTCTCCACCTCCTCCGCCGCCTCCTCCTTCTCCTCCTCCTCCTCCCTCCACCTCGTCCTCCTCCTCCTCCTCCTCCTCCTCCCTCGTCCTCCTCCTCCTCCTCTCTCCTCCTCCTCCTCCTCCTCCCGTCCTCCTCCTCCTCCTCGTCCTCCTCCCTCCTCGTCGTCCTCCTCCTCCTCCTCCCTCCCCCCGTCCACCTGATTTGTGGTGGTGGTGTGGAAAACAGGCCCCCCCCCCCCCGCCCCCCCCCCCACGAGCCGTTGTCGTTCGCGCCCCAGCCGCTGCTGCTCCCACCGCGGGCCCCGCCGCCGCGGCTGGGCCGCGCCGGCTGCCCTGGCTCGGGGCGGGATCGGGGGAGGGGGGGGGGGGCGGAAGGAGGACGGGGGAGGGGGGTAGAGGGAGGGGGGGGAGAAAGAGGAGGGGCGGACAAAAGGGGGAGAGGAGGGGGAGGATACATATATATATATACATATATATATTATATATATAATATATATATAAATATATTATAATCTATATCTATATGTATCTATACTATATATATATTCTTATATATATATATATAGAGCGGGATCGGGGGAGGGGGGGATGCGGAAGGAGGACAGGGGAGGGGGTAGAGGAAGGAGGGGGGCGGATAAAGAGGGAGGGGCGGAAACAAAGGGGGAGAGGAGGGGCAGGAGGGAGAGAGAGAGATACATATATATATATATATATATATATAGAGAGAGAGAGAAAGAGAAAAAACAACAAACAAAAGCACTGACGGGCAGATCCCAGCCCAGCGCGGGGCGTGGGTGGATGGCGCCGCAGTGCCCGACGTGTACAGGTACGCGCCAGCTCTTATCACGCTGTGTAACAAAAGTCGGTGTCCAAGTCCTTGCACCGTTTCGTGTCAGCGGCAATTTCGGGAGAAGAGGGGGAGGACGGAGGGGACGAGTGAAGGGAGGAGGGAGGAGAGGAGGGAAGAGGGGATGGAGAGGCAAAGCATGGATGGGGCAATAAAGAAGAGGACAGGGAGGGGAGGACGATAATACCGACGAGGTGGGATATGGATGGATGAACAGATGTTCCGATGGAGTTGCCCCAACGTCGACCCCAAATATGTCGAGTGTTTGGAGCCAGGGCGCCTGGCGCACAGCTGGCCCTCGTGAGGGTCGCCATTTTTCAGCCAAGGCGCCTGGCCCCGAGCCGGCCCACAGAGCAGGCAAAGGCATCCGGCCCCGCAGGAGGGGTGCCATCCTTGTGAGGGTCGCGACTTCTCGGAGGCCAGAGCGCCCAGCCATCAGCTGGCCCACAGAGCAGGCAGCGCCCTCTGGCCTGCTGGGAGGAGGGCCATCCTCGTGAGGGTCGCACCTGTGCGACGGCCAGGGCGCCCGGCCCACAACTGGCCCACAGGGCCGGCAGAGGTCTCCGGCCCGCCAGGTTGAAATCGGCCTATCCTCCTACAGGGGGACTTGGGACGAAAAGTAAAAACTAATAAAAAATACTCCCAAATGGCTAAAAATTATTCGGAAAATCGTCCCCAGACTATTTTTGACCATGTTTGAATTTTCCCCCTGTAGAGGGACAGGCACACCAGGAGCGCCATCCTTGTGAGAGTCGCCACTTCTCGAAAGCCAAAATGCCCAGCCCACAGTGCCACAGAGCTGGCGGAGCGCCGACGCACCGTAATTTACAAGGAATCGCTGCCCAGGATGCGCGAACGCAATGTGATTTACTTAGGAACTTGGCCCAGTGCGCGCGGACCGTAACTTACAAACGATCGTGGCACAGGGACCACGGAGCCAGTAGAATAGATTAGGGATTGTGGCGCCGGGAGCGCGGTTTCGGTATAATTTGCGAGGGAGCACAGCGCTGGGAGTTCAGCGTGATTTGCAAAGGATCGTGGCTCTCGGAGCGCGCATCCGTTTAATCTAACCCGGAGAAGCAATTAAGAACCCCCCCCTCTCCGGCGAAAGTATAACGCACCCGGCACCCCAGAGACGTTACACTGGCACCTCGCACCTTTATGGGAACGCAGACGAGTCTGCTCGCCGAAACGAGCACACCGCCTGAGACATTCTCGCAATATGTTGGCTCTTATTCGCCATTGCGGATCAAGCCGATTGCCAAGGCCTCAGTCAAGAGGCCTTGGCCCAGCTAAAGATAAAACATCCTCCTCCTCCTCCTCAAGACTCCCTTACGGCACGGCACCAACACGAACAACGACAATAATGCCAGCAATAAGACTTATATCTAGAACAACAAGGCCAATAACAACACCAACAACAACATCAATATCAAATACACCAACAACGCCAACACCAACAATAACAACAGTAAGTCCCGCGCAAGGGAGAGCACAGCTTTGAAAAAGAACCGTCCGTGCCTACGATGGGGGGCGAATCATTTTGGCGGTGCGGGTGCTAAGATAACGCGCCGTGCGTGGCGAGGGCGATATCCTCAGATGCACTACCCCATACGACGGCCGGGAAAAAACAATGTTTCAACAGGGGTGGTAATATAAATCGTATAGGACATGGACGATGAAGATAATGAGACCTAGCTCTTCCCCTTGTTATTATTTGTATTATGATTATTGTTATTATTGTTTTTCTTGTTTGTACTATTGTTCTATTTGTGATTATCCATATTAGTTTAGATATTATTATTATTCTTAGTCTGTGTAATTTCTTAGTACTATCATTCATCTTTTTCTGATTTCGATTATTATTATTATTACTCATATTATTACACTTCGTGTTATTACTCTTACTCGTACTCTTACCATTATTATTACTATTAGTCTGATTCTCATGATGATATGGACACTACTTCTCTTATTCGTATTCATATTCTTATCATTAACATTCGTGGTCTTATTATGCTTAGCATTGTTATCCGTATCCTTATTCTGATTTTTACCATTTTGCTATCCATACTTTTCTTACTCTTACTCTTATCCTTATTATTATCCGCATTTCTTCCTTCTTATAAATGTCAGTAACGCTCTTCTTCTTATTATTACGATTGTTATGAGTTTTGGTAGTCTTACTCTTAGTGGTCTTATCCTTATTATTATTATTGGTATCATTGTACTTCTTGTCTTTTTTGACAAGCTGTCGTAATCATTTAGTGCACGTGCGGTGCTAAGATAACGCGCCGTGCGTGGAGGGGGCGATATCCTCGGATGCACGACCCCACACGACGGCCAGGAAAAAACAATTTTCAACAGGGGTGCTAATGCAAATCGTACAGGACAAGGATGATGACGATAATGAGAAAAACTACCGTTCTTATTCTGATTATGATTATTATTATTTTGAATCTTATTCTTATTATCATCAATATTATTATTATTCGGATTTTGATTCGTATCCATATTCTCATTCGCATTCTTACTCATAGTACGACCCTCATTATTAGATTACCACTCTTACTCTTATCACTATACTTCTTCTTTGTCTTATGAATTATTATTTATTCTTATTGCTACTCTTATTAGTATTCGTCTTACTCGCATTTCATTATTATTCTTATTCGTACCCCAATTCCAATTGAGATATCACCCGAGCCAGGGCGCGGGATTTTATATGTTCGTTCATTTGCGTGGTGCTAACTAGATCGTTCGGCGAAATCCGCCCCCCAGAACTATTTATTTACGGTGCGGTGCTAATGATAACCCCGGGGGGGTCCCTAATAGCTTCATGCGGTTACAAGGGGTCGTAGCCCTGGGAGCGCGGATCCAGCGGAGAAGCCTTGCAGAGCAAAGTGGGCAGTCTCCTGGCACACTTCGTGGCACATCCCCTGGCGCGTCCGGGGCACGTTCCCTGGCTCGCACGTCCCCTGGCACGTCTTCGGCGCGTCCCCTGGCGCGTCCCGCGGCGGATCCCATGGCAGGTCCATCTGCGCACTCCCTGGCACGTGCTCTGGCGCTCCCCTCGGCATGTCCCCTGGCGCGGCCACTGCCACGTCCCCTGGCACGTCCACCGGCGCGTCCCGTGGCACGTCCCCTGGGACGTCCACTGGCGCGCCCCTCTGTTGCGTCCACCGAGTCGTCATTTGGCGCTGCCCCTGCCGGCTCCGTGGCTCGTCCCCTGGCGCGCCCCCTGGCCTGACGTCCCGTGGCCCGGCGTCCCTGGGACGCCCCTTGGCACGATCAGTGGCAGACCCCTGGTACGTCACCTGGCAGGTCCCCTGGCGCATCTACTGGTGCGCCCCCCGGCACATCCTGTGGCGCGTCCATGCGCCCTGCGCCCCTGTCGGTTCGCCCCGCTTCGGAACCGAATCGGATCTGGATCTCCAGCTGACTGAGCTCCCTGCACGTTTGGACTACAAGCAGCTCTGGGCGAGTCATGCGTTCAGGCAACTCGAGCTAAGTATCCGGATCAGTTCGATCAAGACAGGGACGCCGACGACGAATGGATGCACAACGCAATAGAGTACGGCACAGTTCAACACATTAAGAGTGAAGCACCGCGGATTCAGCAGAGCAGGACACAGGATGGCACAGCGCAGCGCAGCACAGCCCCTGGCACGGGACCATCATTCCTCAAAATTGCCACTGCCCGGTGCCCAAGTAAAAAGCAAGTATATCTTCCTTTCCAAGCTCGTGGGTTGAGAATGTTCCTGGACAGCGCGTCAGCACGAGGCTATATTTTTGGTTGTGGTGTTCCCGTGCCTCGCCCAAATGTGACCAATGAAATCACGTATGATGAGAAGCGTCATGGCACGCATTTTTCATTCAAACAACCCTTGCGGAGCGGAACGCAATCTCTGACAGGTTACCATCACCATGTATATCCTCAGCACTGTCACTGCCCGCTGCCCGATCTAGGACAATTATATATATATATATATATATGTATCCCTTGCTGGGCCTGTGGGTAGATCATGTTGGCTTATTCGTGCGTTCTCGCCTTCTGACTTCCGGTGGCCCCAAGAGGGCCCCAGGGCGAGTCGGCCCCAAGAAGCCCTCGACACGGCCCCCAAACAGCCCAGGAGGCTCCCAAGATAGCCCCAATAGGATTTCAATCCGGCCCCAAGACTGCCCCAAGACGGCCCCACGACGGCCCCAGAGACATCCACGACGGCCCTACATCGCCTCAAGAGGGCCCGAAGATGGCCCAGAGAGGCCCCAAGATGGCATCCGAACGGATTTGACTGGCCAAGGAAGCCATACGACGGCCCAAGAGGCCCCCAAGAGGCCCCCAAGAGGCCCCCAAGAAGGCCCCGCGAATCCACTAGTAAGCGCCTCAGGCGTCCCCACGCGGCCCCCAGAAAGCACCAAGGAGGCCCCAGGAGGGTCCCAAGACGCATCCTCCTCGTCCTCCTTCTCCTCCCTCTCCTCCTTCTGCCCCCCTTCTCATCCTCTGCCTTCCTCCCCCGAGCGCTCCCTCCCGCAACGGCTGGGGGAGCACAGAGTCCAATAGACTGGCCAGACTTCGGCTCAACGCTCGGTCACAGATGCGCTTCCAAGAGGCAGGGGGCAGCGGCGGTCCGCCGCAAGCGCCCTCGACAAACTGCCGCGGAAGAGGAGGCCAGAGCCGCGCAATCCACCCCCCTTGTGCTGTTGGAGCCGTCCTACCGCAGCCTGGCTCCGCCCGACTACACACGTCACCCAGGCTGGCGCTTCGCGCTGCGCGACGCGCGGCACGCGGTGATCTGCTCAGCCTTGAGCAGACCCCTGGATGCGACACATTCTCCTGCCCTTAACGCGAGGCGGATCCTCTGCGCGCTCCTGCTGGCAGAGTCTGACCGGAGCTCGGCCTGTTGAGCTCAACCTTTGCAGACCTTGGCTTGCCTAAGCCTGGTCTGCCTCAACTTACTAAGATTGCTGCGATGTCGTTTTCTTCAACTCGTATGTGGCGCCCATCCGTGTCACAGAAACACAAGACCTGGGGGGAAAACAAGCCTGCCTCGCTTTTGACCACCCTCGCTTCCAAGAGATACCAAACGATGCCAACTTGCAGCATGTGCTGGTCAGGCCGCTTGACGAGGAGGCGCGTGGTATGGCTTGGTTTTGCCTGGAAGCGAAAGCGGGGTAGGTAATTCACGCTCTGAATGCCATAACGCACTGAACTGCCTGTCTCTGAGGGCCCGCCATTCCAACAATATTTCTCAACATACTGAAACCAACAACATTGCTACTAGGATGAACACAATCTTCTGCTGGGCCACCCTTCATGATCCCATTATGCCCCTTCTCTCTCTCTCTCGTGTACTTTCCTCGTGCAAGTTTTCTTGGCGTCGCCTCTCATGACCTCGTCACCCCACCTCCTCAGCCTTAGAGAAGAGCGAGCTGAGGGCCGCCGCTTTCTGGCACGCTGTATATGTGCAGATGTGTTCTGGCACGCGGCTTGGGTATGTATTTCTGTATTTCTGTATATCTATATATGTACAGACGTGTATGTTGGCAGCTGTTGGCACCCTCGCTTTTTGTTTTTGTATTTCTCTCTCTCTCTCTCTCTTTCTCTCTCTTTTCTCTCTCTCTCTCTCTCTCTCTTATTTGGGTCCCCCCCCGCATGCCCACCTGCACCTCCCTCCGCATGCTCACCTCCCCCGAGGAGACCCCGCCAGGGCGAGGCGAGAGCAGGCACGTCCTGTGTCTGCGGGTTCGCCACGCCGTAGAAGCTCCTCAGGACCTCGCGACGCGGGCAGACCAGGGCGGCCGCGGCGGGGCGTCGCGGGCCCGTCTGCGCGATGGCCCAGGCCTGCCCGGGTGCGGATGCCGGACGGGCTGGTGCGATCTGTGCAAGAGGTGTGCTGCTCCCGCCGTACCTGAGGGCCGAATCCCAGCAATCCTTTCTCGAGCACCCAGGAAGCTATCGAAGCAGCGTCGAGAGGGTATCGCTTCCAACGGGCCCGGCACGCGAAAGCCCTCCAGATGCGGTGCTCCAGAATTCTTTCTGGTGGTCGAGGCTAAGGTAGGTTGGGGCATCCCAAGAGGCGAATAGGGGGATCGACTACAGAGTGTAACGACACGCCGGTCGGAAGGAATTGGGCAGGAGCACGAGGCGAGAAGGCGGCCAAGACAGATGGGGTTCAGGCCCTCCAAGAGAGAGCAGCGGAGCACAGGAAGAGCACATCGGTTCTTGAAGCAGGAAGGCGCTCGAAGTACATTGGGATCTGGGGATCCACAAATACCTACCTCCAGCAACCGACGGGTACTCCAAAACTGCTTGTGCGTCGAATCGACGGAAAAGTATAACGTCGTGCATCTGCGAACAGTATACGTTTTTTTTGTTCCGTGGACTTGACGGACATTTCAATTCTGGGGTACATGAATTCTGTACACCCTGCGAAATGCTCAAGAAATCATGGGTTAAGAAATTCATAGTCTCAGAACTTGAACAAAAACCCAACATTTCTGCTAAAATCTAAAGATTTACATTGAAACGTTAAGAATAATCGAGACTCTGGCCGAAGACTTAAGTTTTCTTAAGCATCGCCTAAGGTGTAGTCGATCCCCTACTCGAGAGAGGAGTGCAGCGGGCGCAGCAGGAGACATAGACAGGCGCGCGCGCATACAGCAGGCGGCCAGGCGGGGCAGGCAGAGAGCGTGCGGTGGTGACGGCAGCGGCCTGCCCCTGCTGGCAGCAGCGGCGGCCGAGCAATCATTGAGCAGGTCAAGAGGAGCATGACTGCAAGAGCTGGCCCGCCTCTGGCTCAACAGCCCGCACCTCGTCATCATCGAGGAGCACGCACTGATCGCCTGCCCACAGAGGGTAGTAAGACAAGCATGTGCCCCTGGGTCATGTTCGATCCCGCCTGCTCAGCTGAAGCCCCTCAGCACTCTGAGACCATGGCGATGCTGACAGGTGCCCACAAGGCAGCGCAACATGAGAACAGGACACGGAGGAGAGGCAGAGACAAGCAGCGAGACAGAAGCGTGAGCAAGCACCCTGCCGAGGCCCATGCCCGGCCGTTTCTGACAACGGTGACGTAGTGGCCCCGATTGACCTGGGCGCTGGCGGCACTTTCGGCCGAGATCCGTCGTCACCACACTGGCAGGAGTGCCCCGAATCGAACCGATGAGTCGGATCGGCGATCGAAAGTCATCCGCTCGGCGGAAATCGGCAGCCAAGTCGGGACAAAGTCGCATCGGCGGACATCGGCAGGCTGGTGTGCCCCGAACGAGGATCGGAACCCAGATCGGAATCCCACGTCGGATCGAATCGGAATCGGAAGCCATCTAAGTCGAACCGAAGTCGAAGCGGAGGCATCGAAACGAGCCCTGCACTGGTCCCTGGAGGTCTCCATCGCCCTCCGCATGCTCCCGGGGCCCCCCAGGGCACCGCCCCCGGAGGGCCACAGAGGGCCCCGCCGGTGCTCTCCCCGCACCTTCCCCCCCGCCGAGCGCCGCCGGCGTCGTCAAGCTAGTCCCGCGCGCGCGGGGAGGAGGGCGGCAGAAGAAGAAGAAGAAGAAGAAGAAGAAGAAACAGAAGAAGAGGACAAATGATAATAATCATGACAATACTAATGCTACTAAGAAGAGGAATCGTCGCAATCGGAGCAATGATCATGAGGCTATAAAGAGTACTCGTACTAAGAATGATAAGAAGAGAAAGAGAAGAAAAAGAAGCACGCCGACAGGCGGACCTGTCTCATGACTCCTGGCTGGACCCAGCGGCGACTGACGGGGGGTCATCCCTTCGCTGCTCGCTCCGCCTGCTGGGCCCCCCCATCTCTCCGTGCAGCTTCGCGCTGGCGGACTCGCTCGAAAAGGGCGGCCATCCCCCTTGGCGCCCGCCGCCCCCAGGCCAGAGGCCCGGGCCCTCGCGAGCACCGCGAGCAACGACAGCGGGCCCACGATCTTCTCTCTGAGGGGGCCCTCGCTTCTGCACGCGCGGGAGCGCGTGTGCTACCCGGCCGCCAGCATCGGGCCGATGCTGGCGGCCTGAGTTTCGGAGCTCTGCCCGTCGCCGTGGGCTCCCGACATCCCTTGAGATCATGGCCAGCAGCGCCTCGCTCCGACTTCGGGTCGGGCCGAACCGAAGCGCTGCTGGCAGGAGGGAGGCAGAGGGAGAAGGGGCACAGCCGGGCATGGGCCAGAAGATTCCTCCAGAACATGAGACCCTCCGCCGACCAGAACGCACAGAGCGTGCAAGGGTACTAACAAGCACGAAGAACATGAGAACACCCTCCCCGAACCGACCTCGATCTTATACCTCGGCCCGGCTGCAGCCGCACTCCGAACTCGGGTCAGGCCGAACCGAAGCGCTGTTGGCAGGAGGAAGGCAGAGGGAGAAGGGGCAGGAGAAGGGACAGAGGGAGGGGTGCTGAATATGGTGGCGGGGATGGGGAGGAGAAAGAGGACCAGCACGAACCCAGGATGCGGCAGCGATGTTGCAGTGCACCCCCCCGTCCCCGGCCCCATCCTCAGAAGCCCCTGGAAGTCTTCGCTGCCTCGACCAAAAAATTGCAGAGTTTGCGTTCCAGGGCATTTTCTTTTGCGGCGTTGGGCGCCCTGGCGCGGACGGCCGAACGACCCCTGCAGCGGGACACCCTGCCCACACGGTCGGCGCCGCCAAAACTGCGCGTTCAACCGCGCAAAGTACGCACCGAAAGGCGCCGCGCACTGCAAGAATTTTACCGCTGCAAGCAGGCAGCAGGCCCTTCAAACAAAAAGCGGTGCCGCATATGGGCCTGCCGACCAGGCGAGGGCCCCGCTTCGAGCAAGAGAGGCGCTCTGCGCCTGGCCGGCGCGCAGGGCAGGAGTGCGAGCCGAGTGTGGCCCCACAGCTCGGCGCAGCTCTCCACGAGACCCCTGCGCCGAGAAAGAGAAGCGCCCCCTCGTGAGGGGTGTGCCGAAATGGCCCGAGGCCGCCATGCGAACCCTGCCACTGGCGCCTTCGGTGGAGCTGCCTTATGGGTCTACGATCGTCGTGAGGGGTCCACATCCGTGGCAGTGTTGCCCAAGTGTCCAGGGCCACGCCAATGCGGCGGTGCTGGTTGACGGCGACGTTGGGGATCTGGTCTCTGCGGCGCCGGATTCGCGCAGAGCGAATGGCAGGACATCGCGAACCACACGCTCCTACATTCCACGCGCGCGAATGGGCCGAGCAAAGACGACACGGAGACTCGTAGGAAACCACGAGCCGCGCCGCGTTCCCACAATCGGGTCGGCCACGACCCCCCCCACCCCCTACAATGCCGATGCCTACGTCGCCGCTGCCTGCACCGCCGTTGGCGTGCCTGCGGAGCCTATACGAGTCGGGCGGCGAGCGCCGAGGGACCTCGAGCGACGGCCCTATCGCTGCCCAGGGCACACCGCCCTCCTCCTGTGCGGCTGCTGCAGGTGTGCGGAGGCTCCTGGCCGCAGTGCTCAAGGCCGCGCTGACAGCGATATTGCTTAACGGTGGTCTTGGGAACTAATGTGTAGGAAATCACGAACCACACTTCCCTACATCTCCTAGATGCGAACGTATCGAACGCAAACGACACAACGAATTGTAGGAATGCACGGGCCACGCGTTCCCACAACACCAAAGCCTACATCGCCGTTAGAGTGTCTACGGGCAGTGCCCCAAAACATCTCAAGCGGAAACATCACAGGGCTCGAGCAAAACCGGAAGCTTCGTGCTGGTTGTGCTTTCATTTTCCGTCGTTATGTCTTCGGTCTGCCTTGGCCACGAAACGATGTCAACACGAAAACGGTCCACGAACTCGCCAAAACGCCGTTTAGCTCGAACCCCGAAGCAACGTGTTGAAAAGAAGTAATCGCCCGCCCTGGTAGATGTTGCAAGCTTTTGAGACGAATACGCGATGTCCTGAGGCGAGAGCCATATCTTGAAACGGAACCGCCCTCCATCCTTGACAATGTGGTCCCCTTGTCACACGAATATGCGCGGTGCCAACGTGAGTACATAATACATGAAGCCAGCAAGAAGTAACCTCGGGCCCCAGTTCGACGATGAGTCCCTCGAGTGCACTGCGTCTCTTGGACGCCGACAGTTCGTGCTGTCCAAGAATCCGACTCAATACCCTGCGCTTGCCAGCTTGCGCCGCCACGTCGCATGCGAAGAGGCCGCAGGCAATCCAAGTAGCTCCCCTGCAGTTGCCAGAGAAGGGTATGTTGGTGGTGCAACAGATTGTTCGTGAATTCGTTGGGGAAGCACTCCACGGCGGCAGAGGCGGTGCAGACGGAGTGGGGAGGGTAGCAAGCGGTCTGGATGGTGGTGGGACGTCGGGGAGGCCAGCACCAGCTTGTAGGGTGTCAAATTCGGTTGCGTAGACTGTTCAAAAGTATTCCACTGGAAGACCTCGAACACGCCTCGATTACGACCCCGATGTGTGCAAAGAGCCTCCCGGTGTGGGGCTCGCTCCGCAGAAAGCGAAGGGCAAGCCACAGAAGGATTCCCCTTGTCGCCAAAGGTTGTGCCGATCGTGTCTGCGCGCATGTTGTTCGTGACGATCTTCGCGTAGGTGTCGGCGACGTGCTTGTAATAGGAATTGCCGTCACACTTGCCGCTGCCATCGCCTTGCTCGTCGCAATCGCGGACGCGCAAGCGGTGCAGAGGCGTCGGCGTAGGAGCCGACGCAGACGCGCAAGAAGATGGGGCCGTGGATGCCGTCAATGCCGATGGCGCTGACGAAGCGGGCAAGAAGATGGGGCCGTGGATGCCATCAATGCCAATGGCGCTGGCGAAGCGGGCGGCGAAGACCAGAAAAAACAACAGGTGGCAACGAGCATATGCTGCGAGCCAGCGTGGGTGTGCAGACAGGCGCAGCCTCGTCGACAAAGTTGTCATCGAACACGTCGGAGTCGAACTCGTAGTGTATTTCGTCGGACGGGTCGGTCACCTTGGCGCTGGGCAGCACGTCGAACAGGGCGTCGAACAGGACGATGGGTCGCGGGCTACACGTCGACGATGTAGACGGCAGCGAAGACGAAGGTGGGGATGCCGAAGACGCAGGCGAGGCCATCCGCGCAGCCATCAGCAGCAGGAGCACGAGGCGGCTCATGATCATCCACTGCAAAATGACGTTGCTGGCCATGGCGGAGCGACGAAAAACAGGATGGCCGTGCGCGGCCTCGAAGGGGAAGCTGCCAGGCTCGACGCTGCGCCACGCAACGGCGCGCACACGGGGCTGGCGGCGGGCGGGGGGGGCACCCGAGCGGGCTTGAGCCAATATGGCAGCGAATGGTGATGATGATGATGCTGCTGCGGATGTTGGTGATGAGGATGATGATGTTGATGACGACTGTGTTGATGGCGAGGATGATGACGATGCTGATGATGACATGGCAGTGACGACGGTGGTGATGAGCATGGTGAGGATGACGCTGATGCTGCTGATGGCGATGGAGGGAAGAAGCACGAGTGAGGATTGCAATGAAGAGTGAGGGGGAAGGGGGGGAATGAGCGAGTGCGTGAATGTTAAACGAGGAGGAGGAGTGAGGACGCGAAGTTCAAGCAGGGAGGGGGAAGTGACGAGTGGAAGAGCATGGGAGAAGAAGCGGTGGGGGAGTGCGGAGGATGAGAGGGAGGATGATTTGGAGGAGGGAGAAGTGAGGAGGGATGAGGAGTGGGACGTGAGGATGATGAAAGAGGAAGCAGGTGGAGGCTGAGGAGTGAAGGATGAAGGAAGAGGCGGGGGAGTGGCGTGGCGGAGGAGGAGGAGCGAGGCGGCATGGGGGAGACCTCTCTCCCGACGTGCACCACGACGCTCTTCAGCTCGAAGAGCCGGCTGGGCGGCTGCGTGTGCCCG